CGACCCGCGGCTGACGGCGGCACCGGGCGCCGGGCACCGCTTCGAGCCGCGGCGCCGCGGGCTCCACACCTGGTGCGACCTCTGCGGGGACTTCGTCTGGGGCGGCGGCAGGAAGAGCCTCCAGTGCCGCCGTGAGTAACCGCGCCGCGTAACGGGCCTCCCGGTACCCCCGCCGGGCATCCCGCCACCGGGCACCGCCACCGGGCACCGGGCGTCCCGGGACCGGGCAACCCCGCCGGGCGTGGGCATCCCGGGACTGGGCGCACACACCGGGCAGCGGGCGTCGTGGTACTGGGCAACCCCACCAGGTACCACGCATCCCAGTGCTGGGCACCGGCTTCTCGGTACCAGTTATCCCCACTGGGCACCAGGCATCCCGGTACCGGGCACCCCCACTGGGTACTGGGCAACTGCACCGGGCACAATCCCGGTACTGGGCACCCCCATTGGGTACTGGGCCCCCCCACTGGGCACCAGGCCTCTGGGCACCAGGCACCACCACTGGGCACTGGATGTCCCAGTACTGGGCACATGCACCGGGCACTGGGCATACCGAATACCCTGCCCAGGCACCGCACATCCCTGTACTGGGCACCCACATCGAGCACCAGATGTCCCAGCATCGGGTACCCATGCTGGCCACTGGGCATCCCAGTGCCGGGCACCCCCACCAGGTACCGGGCATCCTGATACCAGACACTGGGTGTCCCAGTACCGGATGCTGAGCATCCCAGCCGTCAGGCACCCACTGGTGGACTGGCCAGCCCAGGCAGGGAGCACGGGCACCACGGTACCGGCCTGCAGCTTGGCACAGCACCGTGTCCCACGTGGGCGCTGCCGCCCGGGCCCCCGGCACCGGCGCAGCACGGGCAGGCAGCCGGCACCGGTACCGGCACCGCGCCACCAGCCTTTGCCCCGCCGGGCGCCGGTACCCTCGCCGGCACAGTCGCTGCCCCTGCCACCGGCGGGGGGGGCACCGATCCTGTCCCCGTCCCCAGACTGCAGCTTCACCTGCCACTACCGCTGCCGGGCCCTGGTGCGGCTGGGCGGCCGCGGGCCCCCGGGCGCCGACGACGAGGACGATGGCAGCGAGCAGGCGCTGGAGAAGGACACCAACGTGGTAGGGCCTGGCCCG